TCTCCTTCCTTCATAAAGCCGGTTTAATAGCTCCGTAACTTTCCATCTCTCTCTGGAGGACGTTATAAACAATCCCCAATCCTGAACTTGTCCTGCGAGCTGTCCGTTACATTGTTTCCGGTCCGCGTGCCGGCGGCTCCTCGCTGAAAGATGGCGAAGTCTCCAGCGTCGCGCCCGGCAGATCCGGATACATCTTCTCCTTCCTAAAGCCGGTTTTAATCGCTCCGTAACTTTCCATCTCTCTGGAGGACGCCATAAACAATCCCCAATCCTGAACTTGTCCCGCGACCTGTCCGTTACATTGTTTCCTTTCCACGTTGCTATAAACACGCGACGGTGGCTCCTCGCTGAAATGTGGCGAAGTCTCCGGCGTCGCACCCGGCAGATCCGGATACATCTTCTCCTTCCTTCCTAAAGCCGGTTTAATCGCTCCATAACTTTCCATCTCTCTCTGGAGGACGCCATAAACAATCCCCAATCCTGAACTTGTCCCGCGACCTGTCCGTTACATTGTTTCCGGTCCGCGTGCCGGCGGCTCCACGCTGAAATGTGGTGAAGTCTCCGGCGTCACGCCCGGCAGATCTGGATACATCTTCTCCTTCCTTCCTAAAGCCGGTTTAATCGCTCCGTAACTTTCCATCTCCCTCTGGAGGACGCCATAAACAATCCCCAATTCTGAACTTGTCCCGTGACCTGTCCGTTACATTGTTTCCGGTCCACGTTGTTATAAACGTGCGCCGGCGGCTCCTCGCTGAAATGTGGCGAAGTCTCCGGCGTCGTGCCCGGCAGATCCGGATACATCTTCTCCTTCCTAAAGCCGGTTTAATCGCTCCGTAACTTTCCATCTCCCTCTGGAGGACGCCATAAACAATCCCCAATCCTGAACTTGTCCCGCGACCTGTCCGTTACATTGTTTCCGGTCCGCGTGCCGGCGGCTCCACGCTGAAATGTGGTGAAGTCTCCGGCGTCACGCCCGGCAGATCCGGATACATCTTCTTCTCCTTCCTAAAGCCGGTTTAATCGTTCCGTAACTTTCCATCTCCTCTGGAGGACGCCATAAACAATCCCCAATCCGCCGGCTGCCCCTCGTTACTTTTTTTTATTTTCTTATTAAGCACTAAATTTGAAAATTGATGTCAAAATAAAACTAACCAACGCTAACGCATCCCAGATATGTATTTACAGCCGCGTGTCAGCCGGCCCCTTCCCGCGGCGTGATAAAAGTAACGGCGCCGAGCCTCGCGTTTCCCCGCTTCCCACCCAAACCATGATGAATGTCAGCCACGGCGTCGTTAAATATGATGTCTGAGGAAAGGGGGGGGAGGGGGGGGAGATACACACCAGGTCCGGCTGTCACATCCCTCCGCTGCCCCTATGGAGCATATCACGGGGGGCCGAGACGCTGGTCTGGGGGTAATCGGGGGGTCAGGGAGGAGGCCGGGGGCACAAATTCTGCATGGAGAATGGGAAGTGACAACTGAGAGAGACGGCTGACAACTGCCAGAGTTCAATGACTTCTCTGTCCTCGGTGTCAGCGTCTATCTACAGTACAAAACAAGGGAAACTTTATATAGAAACATCAACCCGGAACAAGAACATACATCGTAATATATAATACACCAATGAGATCGAGTGCTACACACAGACCCGCCTACAACTGCAATCATACCATGTGACTACTAGAGCGTAAGCTCCTCTGGTACAGAGACCGATGTGACTGTGGGGGGAGGGGGCATTAGAGTGTAAGCTCCTCTGGTACAGAGACTGATGTGACTGTGGGGGAGGGGACATTAGAGCGTAAGCTCCTCTGGTACAGAGACTGATGTGACTGTGGGGGAGGGGACATTAGAGCATAAGCTCCTCTGGTACAGAGACTGATGTGACTGTGGGGGAGGGGACATTAGAGCGTAAGCTCCTCTGGTACAGAGACTGATGTGACTGTGGGGGAGGGGACATTAGAGCGTAAGCTCCTCTGGTACAGAGACTGATGTGACTGTGGGGGAGGGGGACATTAGAGCGTAAGCTCCTCTGGTACAGAGACTGATGTGACTGCGGGGGAGGGGACATTAGAGCGTAAGCTCCTCTGGTACAGAGACCGATGTGACTGTGGGGGAGGGGACATTAGAGTGTAAGCTCCTCTGGTACAGAGACCGATGTGACTGCGGGGGAGGGGACATTAGAGTGTAAGCTCCTTTGGTACAGAGACCGATGGGACTGTGGGGGAGGGGACATTAGAGTGTAAGCTCCTCCGGTACAGAGACTGATGAGACTGTGGGGGAGGGGACATTAGAGTGTAAGCTCCTCTGGTACAGAGACTGATGTGACTGTGGGGGAGGGGACATTAGAGTGTAAGCTCCTCTGGTACAGAGACTGATGAGACTGTGGGGGAGGGGACATTAGAGTGTAAGCTCCTCTGGTACAAAGACTGATGTGACTGTGGGGGAGGGGGACATTAGAGTGTAAGCTCGTCTGGTACAGAGGCTGATGAGACTGTGGGGGAGGGGACATTAGAGTGTAAGCTCCTCTGGTACAAAGACTGATGTGACTGTGGGGGAGGGGACATTAGAGTGTAAGCTCCTCTGGTACAAAGACTGATGTGACTGCGGGGGAGGGGACATTAGAGTGTAAGCTCGTCTGGTACAGAGACTGATGTGACTGTGGGGGAGGGGACATTAGAGCGTAAGCTCCTCTGGTACAGAGACTGATGTGACTGTGGGGGAGGGGACATTAGAGCGTAAGCTCCTCTGGTACAGAGACTGATGTGACTGTGGGGGAGGGAACAATAGAGCGTAAGCTCCTCTGGTGCAGAGACTGATGTGACTGTGGGGGAGGGAACATTAGAGTGTAAGCTCCTCTGGTACAGAGACTGATGTGACTGTGGGGGAGGGGACATTAGAGTGTAAGCTCCTCTGGTACAGAGGCTGATGGGACTGTGGGGGAGGGAACATTAGAGTGTAAGCTCCTCTGGTACAGAGACTGATGTGACTGTGGGGGAGGGAACAATAGAGCGTAAGCTCCTCTGGTACAGAGACTGATGTGACTGTGGGGGAGGGAACATTAGAGTGTAAGCTCCTCTGGTACAGAGGCTGATGGGACTGTGGGGGAGGGGACATTAGAGTGTCAGCTCCTCTGGTACAGAGGCTGATGGGACTGCGGGGGAGGGGACATTAGAGTGTCAGCTCCTCTGGTACAGAGGCTGATGGGACTGTGGGGGAGGGGACATTAGAGTGTAAGCTCCTCTGGTACAGAGGCTGATGGGACTGTGGGGGAGGGGACATTAGAGTGTCAGCTCCTCTGGTACAGAGGCTGATGGGACTGTGGGGGAGGGGACATTAGAGTGTCAGCTCCTCTGGTACAGAGGCTGATGGGACTGGCTCAGTGTTCTCTGTACAGCGCTGCGGTATATGTTAGCGCTATATAAATGCAGACAATACAATTACAGACAATACGACAGGCAAGCTGTGCAGGAAGATCGGCGGGCTCCGCCCACTGCGCTCTCACGTTCTACTCACATAAGTTTCAAGTCCCAGTCCCCGCAGGTGACGAAGATAGACTTGACGCTGGGGTCTAAGAGGCCCTCCTTGGCCATCCACTCATCGACTCTCTGGAAGACACAAAGGAAATGTCACGTGGAGGAGGGGCGCTCGGCACACAGATAAGGACATGTAATCAGAGGAGGCAGAAAATTGGGATCTTATCTGTCCTATAGTCTCTCCATTATTAACAGGATCTGCTTCGTGTTTACTGGGGGGGGGGGGGGGGACACCGAGGAAGGTCACAGGACTCCTGGAAATCCTGCGGGCACAAACACAGCCTGTTATCATAACTTACCACGATATTATCGAGAGTGGACCGGCGGCCATTGATCAGTCCCTACATCATCCCTACATAACCGCGTTATCAAGGTTAGTCTGCGGTGAGACGCCGTCTCTTCTACAAATCCCCGCCTGAGATGTGGGGGGGGGGGATGGGGGGGTCAGCTGCTTTCATTACAAGTAATAAAAAAGAATAACAACAATATATTGTATCATATGGGCAGCACAGTGGCAGTACTCGGGTCGTTGGTTCGAATCCCAGCCACGGCACCACCTGCCTGGAGTTTGCATGTTCTCCCTGTGCCTGCGTGGGTTTCCTCCGGGTACTCTGGTTTCCTCCCACATTCCAAAGACATGCTGGTAGGTTAATTGGCTCCTCTCTAAATTACCCCTAGTAAGTGTATGTATGAATGTGAGTTAGGGACCTTAGATTGTACGCTCCTCGGGGGCGGGGACTGATGTGAAGGTACAATATATATGTAAAGCGCGGCGTAAATTGACGGCGATATACAAGTACCTGAAATAAATGAATAAATACGGGCCGACAACATCGCACTGCAGGGGCGACCATCTCTGCAACACTTTATCAACTGCCGCTTTGCAGCAGATGGAAGGTAGGCAGCGGCAGAGGTGGTCAGGTGACCTTCTTTTCACCATTCTCTTTACTCCGCCCAAAACCTGCCATTACTTTCAATGGAGGAAAGATGTAGAAATGGAAACCGTTTATCAATGTCCAGGGATGCGCAAATCATCTCGCCCGACGCTCAGGACATGCAGTTCCAGGAATTTGTTTTACATTTAGCCCCGCGGTGGGCACGCAGCGGGGTTTACTTTCTGCGGTGCGATTTTCATGTCAGTTTTCAGTGCGATTGTGAAAGGTCGTTGTTTAGCGGCTCGAGTGCGATTCGAAATCGGTCTTCCAGTCACTTGTATGCAAACCCAGCTATGAATCGCACCCAACAGTTATCACACAATGCCAATGTGCTCTGTGCTGTGCGAGTTTGAAACGCATCGCTCCAAACACGCACAGGACCATTTTTATTAACTGGATCAAAACCGCACCACTGAAAGTCCTTCAGCCGGGTTCACACTGATGCGGTCCGGAATTCGTAGTGTTTTCTGTGCAAATTCCGCACTACATCAGAATCGCACCCCATTCGTGTGAACCGCTGCGGGTGTTTATGTTAACCCCTTCACGCCGGATCGTTCCGGCATGAAGAGTAGTTCCTGCGCCGGGAGGTGGACGGGGCGGGGCTTAGTGTCATGTGGCCGCCGTGACGTCACGGGCCGATCACATGATCGGGAAAGGTCCCGATCGAAAGAGCGGACCGGGACCTTTCCGTGCGCACCTCACGTGTGCTGGGAGCGTGCAGGGCGCACGCTCTCAGCACATATGTTTTTTGTTACATGAACGCATATGTGCGGCCGCTCGACGTCTAGGCCCAGACACCGGGAGGGCGCACATTTGCGTGTGGCCGGCATGAAGGAGTTCATTTAACCCCTTCACGCCGGCGCCTCCCGGCCCTAAGAGTTTCAGAAGCCGGGAGGCAGGGCGGGATTTAGGGTCATGTGACCACTGTGATGCGTCGTCAAGGCAGGCACATGATCAGGAAAGGTCCCGATCGAATGAGGATTTCAAGACCTTTCCGTGAGCACCGCACATGTGTGCCGGGAGCGGGCAGGGCGCGCACTCTCGGCACGTATGTCCTTTTTTAATAGAACGCAAATGTGCGGCCGCTCGGCGTCTAGGCCCAGACCCCAGGAGGCCGCACATTTGCATTCGGCCAGCGTGAAGAGGTTAACAACACCCTGAAAGCGGTCCACAAAACGCGGTGCGATGTGCAGAATCGGATCGCATGGGTGTGAATACCCGTGTGATCCGATTCTAGTGTGGACCCAAAAAAGGGTCCTGCACCTTTTTGGTGCGGATGCGGTGCGATCTGAGCCATAAACAATGTACGCCTCCGATCGCACCGCACACAAATCGCATGTGATTCGCACAGGAATGCGGTGCGGTTCCCGAATCACATGTGACGTAACGCACCGCATGAGTGTGAACCCGGCCTCATAGAAAACAATGTACTTTCAGATGCCGTGAAAATGTATTCCTTTGGAATCACCGTGAACCCGGGAGTAGAACGTGAGAGCGCGGTGGGTGGAGTCCACCGATCTTCCTGCACGGCTCCCTTCACACCTGGGCATTTCATTACAGAGTCGCTGCAATTCTGCCCGCGATCTCAAAATGCGCTACAATCCCAAACGCGGTTCAATGTGCAGAATCGGATCACATAGGTGTGAATATCCATGCGATTCAATTCTAGTGGGGACCTAAAAAAAGGTTCCTGCACTTTTTTGGTGCGGGTGCGGAGCGATTTGAGCCACACATAATGTACTGCAAATCGCATCGCGCACAATTCGCACGTGATTGGCACAGGAATGCGGTGCGGTTCCTGTGTGAATCATATGTTATGAGTGTGAACCCGGGCTCATAGAAAACAATGTACTTTCAGATGCCGTGCAGATTTATTCCTTTGGAATCTCTGTGAACCCGGGACTACGGCTTCCTTCACACCTGGGCAGCATCGCTGCAAATCTGCCTGCGATCTCTAAATGCGCTACAATTGCTAAACGCAGTACGGTTTTGCCACGATTGTCATGCAGCAATTGCATGAAGAAGCAGGAGCTTCTTTTGGCCAACAAGTTTCACGCAATGAGATCTGCTGCGAATGCCGATCATGGCAAAGCCGCACCGTGTTTTAGGGGTCATTGAAAACAATGGCACCTGGACCTGTGTTTTGCGATTGCAGTGCGTTCTGAGATTGGATGCAGAATCGCATCATGCGGTTTTTCCACGATTGTTATGCAGCAAATGCGGCAAATCGCATTGCATGAAGGAGCAGGAGCTTCTTTTGGCCGACAAGTTTCACGCAATGAGATCTGCTGCGAATGCCGATCATGGCAAAGCCGCACCGTGTTTTAGGGGTCATTGAAAACAATGGCACCTGGACCTGTGTTTTGCGATTGCAGTGCGTTCTGAGATTGGATGCAGAATCGCATCATGCGGCTTTTCCACGATTGTTATGCAGCAAATGCGGCAAATCGCATTGCATGAAGGAGCAGGAGCTTCTTTTGGCCGACAAGTTTCACGCAATGCGATCTGCTGCGAATGCCGATCATGGCAAAGCCGCACCGTGTTTTAGGGGTCATTGAAAACAATGGCACCTGGACCTGTGTTTTGCAATCGCAATGCGTTCTGAGATTGGAGGCAGAATCGCATCATGCGGTTTTTCCACGATTGTCATGCAGCAATTGTATGAAGGAGCAGGAGCTTCTTTTGGCCGACAAGTTTCTCGCAATGCGATCTGCTGCGAATGGCGATCATGGCAAAGCCGCACTGTGTTTTAGGGGTCATTGAAAACAATGGCACCCGGACCTGTGTTTTGCGATCGCAGTGCGTTCTGAGATTCAAAACGAATCAAAACGATTTGGCCTTGATCCCAAAACGCCCAGGTGTGAATGGAGACTCACGGCGCGGACACTGGAACTTGATTTGGCTCTTCAGTGCTTCTGTGTGCGAGGGTAAGCTGAAGGAATAAAGCTTTTTGATTTTTTTTTTTCATTGGGGTCGGCGCCTCATTTACTCACTCACCAGATGCGCTTCTACTGAGCGTTAAGACATCCTGACACTCCCCTTTTCCTGAACACCCAATCAGCGCTCATTACACTGCAAGGTCTCTCCCCTCCCTGATAGCCCCCGGGTGCGGTGCTGGAGACAGGCAGGGAGGGGAGGAGCAGGGAACAGCGCAATGTTAAAACTTTATTTAACCCCTTGGCGCTGGCGCCTCCCGGCCCTTTAAGAGTTTCAGAAACTGGGAGGCGGGGCAGGGCTTAGGGTCGTGTGACCGCCGTGACACGCCGTCACGGCGGTCACATGATCGGGAAAGGTCCTGATCGAAAGAGGAGATCGGGACCTTTCCGTGTGTACCGAACATGTGTGGTGGGAGCACACAGGGCGAGCGCTTTTAGCACGTATGTTTTTTTAATAGAACGCAAATGTGTGGCCGCTCAGCGTCTAGGCCCAGACACCGGGAGGCCGAACATTTGCGTTCGGCCGGCACCAAGAGGTTACATACAGTTTTGGTTAAAAAATTTTTTTATATCAGGACAAGTAGACTATCATGAGAGACAAGTAGATTGGGACCCCAAATGAGTCCCTTGGACAAGTAGTTTTTACCCAAATGTCCACACCCCTTATGTCTACAGACAGACCTCCAATGGGATCGGAGGCTTAAGCTGGCCATACATGGACCGAACTTCAGCCGGTTGAGAAGGGGCAGGCCGAATTTTGATCCATGTGTGGCCACTGTGGTTGAACAGAAGTCAACTGGTTGACTTTTGTTCAACCACCTTGTCGGATTTTAGTTACTCCATCGGCGCTGTGGGCTACAGACTGCAGTGCTGATCTGTGTATTCAGTCGGCTGGGAAGCCTTCCCAATGTCAGAATACAATGACACAGCAGGGAGGCGTCTCCACGACACAGCAGGGAGGCGTCCCCAGGGCACAGCAGGGAGGTGTCCCCAGGACACAGCAGGGAGGTGTCCCCAGGACACAGCAGGGAGGTGTCCCCAGGACACAGCAGGGAGGTATCCCCAGGACACAGCAGGGAGGTGTCCCCAGGACACAGCAGGGAGGTGTCCCCAGGACACAGCAGGGAGGTATCCCCAGGACACAGCAGGGAGGTATCCCCAGGACACAGCAGGGAGGTATCCCCAGGACACAGCAGGGAGGTGTCCCCAGGACACAGCAGGGAGGTATCCCCAGGACACAGCAGGGAGGTATCCCCAGGACACAGCAGGGAGGTATCCCCAGGACACAGCAGGGAGGTGTCCCCAGGACACAGCAAGGAGGTGTCCCCAGGACACAGCAGGGAGGTGGCCCCAGTCCACCTCGAATGTGTGGGATGGGGAGAACCTGGTCCATTTGTTTTCTGCTCAACCAGCTTGTTGAATGGAAAAAAAAACTGATTAACCACATGCCGCCCAGCCACTGTAGAAATACGTTGGCAGGGTGGCACGGCTGGGCAAAACCACGTTTTAAAAACATGTGTTTGCAAAACAGGTAGGGGGCACGCGCGAGGCGCGTCACCGCCCTACCTTTCCCGCCGATCACGGGCGCGGATGTCAGTCGCCAGGTCACAGCCGATCGTTACCGGCTATGTCCCAGCGATTAGCGGCAATCACTGACAGAGAGCTGGGCTGCAGTAGCTCTGCTTTCTGTCAGTTCCCTGTCAGCTCTTGACATGCTGTGCCGGAGAGAAGAGTTATCTGTCCCGATCAGCGTGTCCCCCATGCAGCACACCCCGCCCCCTAGTAAAAACACTCCCCTCACACAGTTAACCCTTTCAGTAAATAAAAAAGTTAACCCCTTCCTTACCAGTGCCATTAGTACAGTGTCAGTGTTTTTTTTTTTTTTTGCACTGATCACTGTATTGGTGTCACTGGGGATGTCAGTGACCCCAAGTCAGTCCCCGTCCCCCCCCCCCCAGTGTCAGAATGTCCGCCGTAGTCCCGCAGTCCCGCCATAAGTCGCTGATCGCCGCCATTATTAGTATAAAAAATTTTTTTAAAAATCCCAGTATCTTTCCTGCCATTTGTAAACGCTATAACTTTCATGTAAACCAATTAATTTACACGTATTGGGGTTTTTTTTTTTAGCAAAGACATGTCGCAGAATGCATTTTGGCTGAAATTTATGACGAAAATTTGATTTTTAAATTTTTTTTACTGGACATGTTTTATAGCAAAAAGTCCAAAATATTGTTTTTTTTTCTCAAAATTGTCAGCCTTTTTTTTTTATAGCGCAAAAAATAAAAACCGCACAGGCGATCAAATACCACCGAAAGAAAGCTCAATTTGTGGGAAAAAAAAAGGACATAAATTTAATTTATGTACCGTATTGCATGACTGCGCAATTGTCCGTTAAACTAGTGCAGTGCTGTATAGCAGAAAAATGGGGTAAATTGCATTATCTATCCCATAGTTTGTAGACGCCATAACTTCACACAAAGCAATCAATAGACACTTATTGGGATTTTTTTTTACCAAAAACATGCAGCAGAATACATTTTGGCCTAAATTTATAACTAACTTTGAGTTTACTATATATTTTTTATAGCTGAAAGTAAAAAATATAATTTTTCTTCAAAATTTTTGGTCTTTTTTTGTTTATAGCGTGAAAATTGAAAAGCGCACAAGTGATCAAATACCACCAAAAGAAAGCTCTATTTGTGTGAAAAAAAGGACGTAAATTTTGTTTGGGTGCAGCATTGCATGACCGCGCAATTATCAGTTGAATTAGTGCAGCGCCGAGTAGCAAAAAGAGGCGTGGTCATTAAGGGGGGTAAATCCTCAGGAGGGGGAGGGGTTAATATATGTGCTTTAGCCACACCACATTGTGCCATTAGAAGTCAGGCAGGGGAGTCTCACTCCTCTTGATTTATTATGTGTAATACTACATTCGGATAGTCTACTGTCGGTGAAATGGAGTTCTTCCCAACACATGGATCACAATACACGGTATCTATGGCAAAGGTACATGACACCTGTCTGTGAAAGTCCTGTACGCGGCTCCTAGAGAACATGGCGATGGTCCTCATCTAACATTGCAACAGCATAATTATCAGCATCTAATATGGCCGACCCAACCCCTCCACCCGACACTCACCTCTAGAACCTGGCTGAGAGTCGGCTGTCCATCCACCATCTCCTGGATGATTCCAGTCAGCTGTAAACGAAAAGCAAA